GACACCCCTTACCAATGATGATGAAATTCTTCGGCGATGGAGAGAGTACTTTGAGGAATTCCTTAATCTTGAGCAACCGCAGTAAGATTCGCCTTTCGAGCAGCAGCTAACAGATATTACTATCTCTGTGAAAAGATCACGAACTGTGAAAACCTCGAAAAATGGAAAGGCTGTCGGAATTGATGAAACCCATCCCAAGATACTCATGGCATTAGGCGAACAAGACGCGTGCTGGCATATACATGCCTGTCAACCTGCAATGACTACGTCAAAGACACCAAGGTCTGGAGAACGGGAGTTGTTGTACCTCCATTCAGGAAGGGAGACCACAGGGAGTGCTCCAATTACACGGGTATTACGTTATTCAGCCTCCCAGGTAAAGTCTACGCAGGGATGCTAGAAAGGAAGTGCCGCGAAATAGCTGATCTCAAAATACAAGAAGTGCAGTGTGGCTTCTGACCCGGTCGAAGCTCCTCTGACCATATATTTGCCCTGCGCCAGATTGTTGAAAAATCGTGGGAGTACGCCCGTCCGGTGTGACTTCGGTCTGGCTGACCTATTTAAGAGCTATGACCGGATTCCACGCAACAGTCTGTGGTCATGCTTTGGAGCATACTGGATGGATGGTCAGGTTCTAGCTGTTATCAAATCACTGTATTCAGGTGGCAGGTGGTGCGTCAGAGTAAATGGTATTAAGTCGAAAGCTTTCAGTGTTGACACTGGTCTCCGCCAAGGCTGCGTTCTGTTTCCTCTCCTGTTTACCTTGTACATGAATAGAATAGTCAGGAACTTCCAAGGCGATGAGGGTATCGGTGTAGGAGATGTGAAGTCGAGAAGGTTGCTGTTTGCAGACGACTTTGTTTTATTAGAATCTTCTGAAATTGATTTTCAGTGCTCCTTAGAAAGGTTCGCAGCCGAGTGTGACGTAACCGGCATTCATGTGAACGCATCTAAAACGAAAAGCCTGGTGCTTTGTCTTTCTCCTGCCTGTTGCTCTCTTCAGATTAAC